AGCTCGCTCGGCGGCTGCGCCGCCAGCTCGCATTTTGCACAGTCTAAATCTAATCACCTGAGTGCGCTCCGTTCGACGACCTATACTAAGATTGCAAAGAACGATAAAATTTCTGGCATTAAAATTGAACTCATTGATGAATTCAAAATTGTCATTTCACACTAGAGGCCCTGAGGAAGGTGAACGTAACTCAGTCTGCCATCTGGTATGCGAGAGATCACAAGTTGGTGGGCATCTGAACAGCATCTTATAATTATATGCCCTATGCACCTGGCACCGTCTCGAGAAAGAAAATATTATCTCTAGTACTGCGCACCTCGTGCCATCACAAGGTCGATTAGTCCACAATGAACACATCACAATGTTCATCAAACTGTTACATGACAGTAAAAATCTGACCGTGAACGGGTATGCACTTCCCGAAAACCAGACACAACAATCAGCTGTACACATTACTTGCTGTAGCAAAATGTTCTGATTTGCAGGTTCGCATCAACACTGAGTTCTCGCTATATCAAATCTACATGATGTAACAGGAAACCCCGTTGAAGATAAGCGGATGCATAATACCACAACGCGTTACCAGAGTGATAGCACTGAGGCAGATTTTTGCAAGATTTTTATTAACCCGCTGAGTGGGACTGTAGGACAGATAGTAGTTGAGGGCATCTGCAGTCACAGAGCAGAAAAAAGGACAGTGAATGCAGGAATCACTTGCGACGTGCAAGCAAAAAAGGTGACAGTAGGTGAGAGGAAATGAAGAGGAAATTGATGTCGTCAGTTTTCCGACCAGCCCGCAAACCAATAGGAAGTGTTCGGAAAGAAAGACTTCTCAGCCACAGCGGCAACCGCTCGGCAAATAAGCCGTTTTGTGCCGGATGATCGCCTATCACCAAAAATTACTAAGCCGACCCCCGAGTATAGCCCCTGTCCAGACAGTTTGGCACTGCTCAAGACAGTTACGCCCCGATAATAACCCTCTATCGTTTCCTCATTCTTCGGAAAGAATCGGGAACGGAGCTACATAATTGTGTTTGTACCTATTAACTACGGATGACTTCGGCATATCGCAACAAAAACACCCCTACAAGTTCAAGGCAGAGGATTAACTGGCGGCATGTCTTGTCTTGTCCAAGTCTTGTAGGGAGTCGTTATAATGAAGGCTATCAATTTGTTGAATAGATCACTACTCGATTTCACCTCGTCCATTTCCCAAACATCGGCTAAGTAGTCCAGGTTAGCATACGAAACAGAGAATCTAGTGGCACAAAATCATACGATATTTCACCAACTTTTCAAAAGTCTCCAGGACTAATCTGTCATAGTCTGGCCATAAACGTAACCATTGACAAGATTCGGGCTCCTCTCGGAGAGCTCTATGTATGTCCAACAGGTGATTCACTACACCCTTTTCGAACATTGCAACGCGGGCCCAGTCTAAAAGGAAATCGTCATAACAAAGAGGCAATCGCAATGCGCTCCACCCACCATATTTCATAAGTTCTTGCCAGCATTCAATGCCAGAGATTTGCGCAAGGACACTATGACCTTCACACATATTTGCCGTCTTGAGGTCGATACCCTTGCTTATTACCAATAAGACAGCAGGATCCAGGAGCTGATCCTGGAATTCTTCTGGGAGAGAAGCAATGCCAGTGGGACGACCATTCAAAAGATGACTGATCAAACGTACCATAGCGGCAAAACACCTCTAGAGCCTTCCGAACAGAGGCAAGGACACTCTTGCTCTGCTTTATATTCTTTTTACCAAGTTTTGCCACGCAATCCAATAGATCCGATAGGCGACTGCACATCAACTTGCGTACTTCATCCAGATCTGGCGCAGAAACCAGATCGGGATCACTTTCAGACGTCCAGTTGTGCTGTGGACCTAAACTTCGCGTACAAACGCTGCTGAGAAAGGTGATGGCATTGTCTCTAGTATGTTCGTTCCGACACTTCAAGGCCCAAAAGATCGTTTGAAGGACCGATTTCTTGCGTATGAGCGAGCGTCTTCTATCTATGAGATATACAACATTAAGGATTGTCGATAAAAGTGCAACATGGTACAGTACCATTTTCGCACAACGCATTGAAAACAATCTGCATCCTACGCAGAGCAGTGCCTTCTGGATCCTGACGGCAGTCTCGATCGATTGTCACTAGCCGCTCGATGGAAATTTTCTGAGCCTCGGATGAAAGAGTGGCTAGAATGGGCAGGGATTAATTAATCCTGAGCCGTGTTTTAAGCGCATGGAGTGACTAAGAGCTCACAACTTGAAAGCAATTTATAGAGTAGATCGCACCCTTCTCCCTCCGGGAGCCATTTATCTACACATAGAACCTCTGAAAACCTGTGAATGGCTTTACGTCGTTCCAGATCTGAGGCTGTGGTATGATGTGAATATAGGGGAAAACAGTATCGTAACGCACATACCTCGTTCAGCTATGGTTAAAAAGGCACCCGAGACGGATTCGACATCGCAGGAGCAGCAATGATCGCGCTTGCTGAAAAGTTGCAACACCAGTGTTGCGATGTAATCTTCATCCAGGATATACTTGCGGGATTCAGCATCTGTTATCCATCATAATGAATTAGAAGAACACTAGCGATATAATAAGATCTTACCTCGTTCAGAAAACTTGCTGAGACACAGTACCGCAGCTCCCTTTGTTTTGCCATGTCCTCTTGCAATCATACATTTCAATCTTGACACCATCCAGCGCTTTTCAAATGGCGTATCTGAATTTTTTTTTTTTAGTCATTCGACGGAAAAGCATTGACGGGAAGAGCTTACCATGAATGTCATCGACCACACTACCAAGTACTACGGCTGCATGGAACTCCGTCCGACTTTCAGTCAAGAGATGAATAATCCTTGTGACGAAATCGGGCAGACCTTCAAAACGGTGTCAGAGTTATGATGATAACCTTGGAAAAGATACATTACTTGACGAGGTGTTCTTACCACCCTGCTGAATACCATTAATGTTTTCGATCCAGACTCTTCGTATGCGATCTAATATTGTTGGGTCAACATGGAGAACCACAACGAATGACAGTGTATACCATCCTGTACCAAATAAGCCAGACAAGAAACAGCGATAACCCGTTTGTCCAGAACAATTGAATGAAGCAGTTCGTAGAGCACCGGTACCCATGAGTTCGGTTGCGCCATCAGGATTTCTTGAGCAGCACAGAATATATCCCAACGCTCCACTTTATCGTGTTCCGTATTGTTGATTACCAACACCATCTGTGAGAGACACTGAAGACTTGCGACCCTTGCCTCGTGCGCATTTCCATACAGCATCTTCTCGAGCCCCTTCTTCGCGCAGTCCTTCAAAATCCATGATAAGTACTCTGGCAGACATTAGCTTATCTAGCAATACTACAGCACGATACGCACGGTGTTTTGTGAGCTGGAAGAGGCAATGCGCGCTTTCAGCTTTGATATTGTCACTGTACGCCGACAACATGTCCACGAGATGGTATATAACCCCAGAGATCCGACGAGCGCCACGATCTTTGTCAAGTGAGAACAACCACTTGAGATAAGGATCAGACAATCACTCACCGGACAGAGCCATAAATGACAAACGCCTCAATAACCTGACTACAGGGCCAGGTTCCAAATAGTCCAAGTAATACGTCGTGTATGTTGGCTTCTGTATCATGTGCATCAACTCGTGTATCGTGTCTTGCACATGACCGTCATATACGTCTATGTCCAGTATATCTTGCCATTGGTCGACCCAAGAAAGATCCTCTACTCTTCCCTCCCCAATGAGATGCTCCCATTTTGTCGCCTCGTCGCCGGCAAATGAAGCCGATGGTCGATATGACGAATCTATAAATGCTACAGAAGCATGGACACGTTGCTGGGGGACAATAGTGCGACCATGACCACGATTACGCTTCCTGGATAGTCGAATAAGCGTATTCATACGGTATTTAAAATGGAAACTACCTTGTAGTACTATTGTCATCCTTGTACGAGAGTCGTGTGATGTGCACGTATTCAAGGAACCACCACGAACCTTTTAGAGATTTTATCGGTATGGCTTTGTGAAGGTTCCCCTGCTCCCATTCGCTTTCCATGTTTCGTGATGTGAACCTGAGGCCAGCTGCACTAGCCTCTTTCACCATCCACAGCAAGGGAACCCGGGAAAGATTGAGGCTCCTATCTAAGCATTCGGTACCATTACACCCGCCACTGTGGAGAAATTTCAGAAACAGTCCATCTCCCTAAGCGCATCTACGACGTACATGTCTGAATGACTTCCCGCAAACCACACCTCTTTTACATCAGTGGACTCTGTACACTCCGGTTGTCTCCCAAATCGCGGTGTCGATCCTTTGGAGAAGTATTCGGGGAGGAACTTGACACGACGCTCATCTAGTGCCAGAGCGTGACGAAAGAAGCAAGTACAACTGGCAGCCCCTGCCAGTGGTAATGAGCGTTTTCGGACGATGCCAACGGACGAAACAGTATCCCTAGGCAAAGCGTGGTCACTATAGAAGCAAAAACCCGTCGGGGTAACACGCACCATGCACCCACAAAATGGACCTTGATGGGCCTCGAAAACGTCTTCTTGAAATTATAGGCCAGGACTTCGGCCTCGGTCTCGTCCTTGATCTCTGAATGAGATGAGCGAGCCTCAGTGGCGACCATGAGGCTTGAGAAATATCATACTCTTGCCTATGTATCTATTGACGTACAACTCATAGCCGCTAAAGAAACGTACATGTAAGACATGGCAGCTGTATTGTGAGAACTCCCTCACAGAGAAGTCGAACTCTTGTTTCCGGGGTAAGCAAGGCCGACCTGTAGAATGTTCATCAGAATCACAGACGCACTCCTAATAGCCAAAAAGAAACCTTTTCAATCATTCCTGATAGCATTCGAATTTGGTAGGCTCCGCGGGAAAATCCTATGTGGGATTTAGTTTGACTAGCTACCTATGTACTCTATGGCAGGAATCAGCGAACCGAATAAATATATTCTATCCCCACGTTGATAGTTATCTGCGAGCCATTGATACGCTTCTTTAACGTTAGACTCCACATGCCTGGCATATTCACTGTCGTCAGCACGACTTTGCAATAATCAGAGGAGATATCACCATGCAATGGCCTGATCAATAACATTGTCGCCAAGGCTTAACCAGTATCGCAGCGAAAACCTCCGGGGAGGTACCAAAGTCCCAATACCGCTTCTGTAGAAAGTAAGCTGCGGAATATCTTGATCTTCTTTCAGTATTCGGCTGTGTAGCTCTATAACATTGGTGTTCTATTAAAAAGAGCTCATTAGCAATGATAAGAGGTGGCGGGGCATATACAAACGTGATGCCCAAATTGATTAGAGGTCCCATCAAGGCAAACGACCAAGTTCCGGATGGTCGTTGAACCACAGTTCCTGTCGCATTTTCGCTGGCACATGACAGGGCAGGTTGGATAACATGTATGGCGGCGACAGACGCAGTGATTTTTGCACAGACAGGAACAGTTGCAGACAAGATCGCATTCGCATCCGCATATACGAGGTTCAGACTCGGAGATACTCTGAGAATGGGTAGTGAGCTCCACGCTAGGTGGGACTGCAGCGACAGTTTTGGGAGTTCGTGGTCGTGGATGGGGGTGAGACAGATATTTTGCGATCCACGTCAGTTGATGCCCCAGAAGAGTACGAATTCCGAACGAAGAACTCGCGACCTGTGAGGAGTCTATACTGGGTGGGACTGGTGTATTCGTTCGATTGCCCATAATCGATTCTGGCGCCTCACCCCCATGGGGTTGAAGAGGGGAGATTAATTGAGGATTCTGGTTCGCTGGAATCGCCTCCGTCTCCGAATACGCCTCTAGTTTCTCTGCCAATTGGTGAGCCATGCGAGATGAGATGAGTGCGGTGAATAGGGAGATCAATGGGACAGGACAGATGGAGACAATGCCGCTGTCACGCCAATAAGTATTTAAGAAAGAGGTCATCGGACAATCAGGGAGGTTCACGAGAGGATAGAAAATAAGTATACGGCATGGCATCCAAATAGTCATCGACGACATGAATGAAATGCCTGCAGAGTGGAGAAGCCCTGCGATAATGAATGTGAAACTCTCTTCTGCCTCTCATGTTCTGGAGATATGCCTAGCGCTCATACTGAATATTATTAGAATGGAAGTACCTCGGCGCGCCGCCACCTCCAGTTCTATTCAGTGGTGTTCTATCACCGTTCGCCATCTCATACAGATGGATGCGCACAGACTTCGGACGTCTTTGAGTGGACCAGGTCGTGTTATTCCGCTTGGCGGATGACGTATACGCTAAGTATATTCAACACCGCCCGTGCGTATGGGAAAACCTGAAAAAAGATATGATAAATATACACGACACAGCAAGGTGTACAGACGGCACGCACGGCAGATATTGCATCCTGAGTTGTGGCGACTGTTTTGTATGTGTCACGTAATGCTCCCTCACAATGGCTACCAGCGGACGAGCATAGTAAACGATACGGACTGCGACATCTCCGATGTGCTTATCCTCGTTCGTAGTACTCCGGGCTGGCGATATAGGACTTACTCTGCCCTCATGCGACCATCATGCTTCGACCATCCGTTACACGAACTCCCCGGGCTCGAAAAATAGAAAGCCCTAGGCTCGACCACCGGCTGCTCAAACCTCCTCGAACACCATTGGACCCAACAATGATTGAACGGAGATCCAGTATCTGCGCAATATACATTTTCAATAGCTCTACCCTCCAGGTGACCGGTAGCGTAATGTTCCAGTAGCTAAAACCTTTTTAAGGTTGCGCCCAGCGTCGAGTAGGTAGACTTTGGCCTAAGACATGCTGTGTCTAGGAGCTGATGACCGGTCTTGGTACATGCATATCAAGGACTCTGCACATTGCAGGAAGATCCGCAACGGTATGCTAACCCTCAATCAGTTTGTTGGGCTCGTAGTATTCACTACCATCTGAAAGAATAAGTCTGGTAGCTTCCGTGCTTAAAACTCGTAAACTCGAATCCATAACCGGCGGAGGGGACAGTGCTGCATGACATCAGCGAAATTCGAAGACTTGCATGTGTAGAAGAAAACGCACGTTGCTCCGGCTGAAACATCAACGATGGATCAACACTAATCATCTTTTATTCTAGAGTAGAGGTAACAATCATCGCATCCTGATTGTACATTCCTAAATCCTCCCGTACACCAGAATCCGAATGTTCGCTAGAAAGATAAGCGAAGCCGTCATCTCGTCGCCTGACCAATTCAAATGATTAGAAGAACGATATTAGTGGTGAGGACCACATACTATTGCCTGTACATGCTATTACCACCGAGCCGACGACTAACCACTCATCAGCACGGCACCAATAAAGGGCAAGAGGCACCCCGACACCGTCATCTGATTGAACATCTCAGTCGGCTGCACAAGCTGACCTCAGCGGATACCCGTACTTGATTGAGGACCTCGCTTCGGGTCGGGGGACCAGGCTCTTGTACTCGTCCAAGTTTGCGAAGAGAAGAATACACGTAAAAGCTACATCCGCTTTGTGCCGATACATTGTTGGCAGTAACATGACTCGAGATCTCTGAGTATAAAGCGGGACCAGCGGGGATAGAGAGTGCGAGACAGGGCATACCACCCGTTGTGGCTGTTGAGAAGAGAATGGCGTCCCAGATAAGGATGATGTCGCGTAGGAATTAAGTTTGATGAAGGAGTACTGGGTGCAACTTAAATGAAATGTGTGTCGAGAGTCGCGATGCTGTGCCTTTGCAGATAAGCACGTATCTTCTCATGTCGACCACCGGTTGAGCACTGCGCAGTGTTCCTTGGATGAGCAAGGAGCCTAGGGAACGGGGTAGGTAACAAGACGTCCTGGATGCTGAGAAGCTTAGTTACATGGTATGGTACGCATTGACTGAGATGGGCGAGCTCGTTATACTACCCCTTGACAGATAGTCAGAAAACGCTAGACGACGATTATAGGGAGGAACATACTATTGGTTATATGACTGAACCCACCACACCCTGCTCACCGTCTCCATAACTTCCCCGTAGCCTGCATAATCTGACTACCAACGATCTCGCACAACTTTAAGCACCGGAGATCGAGAACGGTGCATACTTGTAGGAAGTATTTGTGCTTGATGAGGCCATATCAGCAGTTGCGGACTTGGGATAGCGTCTTTGTCGATGTGCTACTGTGTGCAGTGCCTTCATCTACATTTCGTCGCTTTTGACAAGTGTTGGAGGAAATGTTGACCTAGATGGTCCTCCATGCCTCAATATTCCGGCCGTCGAGGTCATACGTGAGTTGGTTTATAAGTAGTCGTCGCACTGGCAAGCGGAAGATATGTATGAAGACCGGCTGCCGGCGGCAGCTAGTCAAGGAAAATGCCGCCTAAATGCCGAGCTAGGCTGTCTCTCGTGACCGTGACCAACCTCCTGTTCTCTAGACTCGCTAACCAGTCGACGTTCACAAGTTTGTGTACTCGTCGTAGATTCGTGTGTATAATAGACTAGCAGTATGGGCGAAAGCTGTGCTCTCCGGTTCAACGCGTGATCTGCAGGGATTTTTTGCATTCGGATTCCCCATGAAACCAGGGAGTCTGAACGAACGCATCCGAAACACGGATCCCCAAGGAAACAGGAGAGAAGAATGAGAAATGATACAAGATCGAAATAGTATGAATTTGAACTAGCAAACGGGAGGCATGGTGTATCGGATAAATCAGTCATGAATGGCAGGCGTTGATTGCATGTAAGGCGCTAAGATTTGAGCGTGTTTTCGAAGGTAGAGTAGAAAAGCGTCAGTTTTCCAGCGTCCTATGGTTTTTACGACGTCAAATGGGGTGCCATGAAGGAGGTACTCCAAGGTCGATCCAATGCGAATGCTGTGACCTTGTAAAGGGTCGATTTTAGCTTGCTTGAAGGCCTTGTGCAAGCGAGCGAGGAAAGCGGACTTGGTTAGTGGTCGTAGCTTTCCTTTGTGGATGTAACTGAACAGGGGTTGGTCCAAAGGTGGATTATTTACAAAGAAATGATTCTGAAGGAGGTGGTCAGGATCAGTCGGACCACTTTGGGTCGCCCAGAAGACGTCTTCGCCATTGGCACTGGTTTTGGTTTTGGGAATGAAGAAAACTGTTTGTTCGAGATTGTTGCGGTCACGGACCTAGACGTAGTTTTGTAAATAAGCTATATTAGAAGGTATCAGATCATGTAGGGGTACCTTTCGAACATCGGATCGTTTACAATGGATGCTGGGGTCGAAGCACCCCAGATTGGTCAAGGTGAACTCTCCCAATCGTGCAGCAGTGTAAAAAGTTGTCGTCAAACATGCAGCAACTGCAGCATAAAGAGGCAGGGAAAGATTGAGATGATGTAGCAAACTTTTGATGGTGTCTGCTGTGTATGGAAGACGTGGTTTTTTTTTAGAATGGGGAGGCTGCAAATGAAATGCTGCAGTTATTAGCATAGAAGTTTCTGCTTCATTGATCTTCCAAGGCAAACCATGGAGGATGTGCCATGCTCGAAGACCATGCAGGTAATTTTTTAGAGTACCATCTGCATAGTTGCCAGCCATCATTGCGAGGAAACTCGAGATGATATCTGGGCTGGCTGGACAATGTGCATGTTCTGGTATGTTTCTCGCATCACAGAAAACGTGGTAGAGGAGAAGTCCAGATCCATAGGTTTCCAAAGTCTTATCAGCCCAAGAGAAAGATAGGACATGGAAAACACGAGTGAGATCCTGTTCAGAGAGATGTGGAGCATCTGTTCGGGAAGACCATGGTCGCCATTTGATCAAGCGTTCTTTCGCTAAGCAGTGTGGACGAAATTCTGATGGCCGAGGTGTCAATGATGTAGAGTATTGGTGAGGGTGAGAAGTTGTATTGAAACGGTTGGGGATGTCATTGGTGAAACATGAGGATGATATTGAACAATCAGTAGTGATCGGAAACGTGAGATGGGAGCCAGTCGAAGTCTGGTTGAGGATGAGAGGAATAGAGGCAGGATTGGCTCTGCTTAGGCAGGACCGTTGGTCTGCCTCGGAGGGATTCTGAGAGAGTAATTGGAATGTCATAGTCAATGATGAAGGGGAGCAATTCTTCTGGGATAGAGATTGGTGGAAGGAGGAGAGACTGGGAAGGATATATTCCTCTAGAGGGTTCGTCGGCAGGGTTGGTTGCGCTCGTGACATATCTTGTGTGGACATGGAGCTCAGAGGCTGCGAGAACATTGTGGATGCGGTGGAAGATGGCATTGACTTCGGAATTTCTGTGTCGGCCATTCCACCATCCCTCGACGATGGACTTGCTATCCCCATGAAGCTTGATGTGGCATTTTGAGACGTCTGAAGGTGCGAAAGGGATCGACTGCTGGTCATGATGTTATTATCATTGAACATACCTTGGTTATCTGTGATTGCTCGGA